GTTTGGGGGCGGTCGGGTAGCCTAGTGGTTAAAGCGTTCGCTTGTCACGCCGAAGACCCGGGTTCGATTCCCGACATGGGTACAATGTGTGAAGCCCATTTCTGGTGTCCCCTGCCATGATATTGCTGGAATATTGCTAAGAGCGGCGTAAATCCATATTCACTCACTCACTCACAGACTGTTTGGCTCCAAATGAGAATGTTAAATTGCAAAAACCTGCAGTCAATCAAGCCTCACACAAGAAACTAGCAGAAAGCAACCCATCTTTGAAATCTGTACACACTTTAGATAGAAATACACACAAAATACAAACAAAACACAATCCCCATGAAGTGTGCATCGCAATGATTAAAACCCAACACTTTCTAAATGGAACTAAACAGTAAATCATGCAGACTGCAACAAGTTAATTGTGCACACATTCAGTTTGTTGCTGTCGCCATTGAAAATTCAGTGGGTTTTAATCATTATGGGCAGACTTTATGGGGAATATTTCTTGTTTGTGATCTGTGAGGCTGCTTCTATTTAATGTGTGTACAGAGTCCCCTCCAAGAGAAGACCTGTGAAGACTCCGGGGTAGAATAGGTCTTCAGCAACCCATGCTTGCCGTAAAAGGTGACTGCTTGTCGTAAAAGGCGACTAACGGGATCAGGTGGTCAGGCTCGCTGACTTGGTTGATGCATGTCACCGATCCAAATTGCGTGGATCGATGCTCATGATATCAATCACTGGATTGTCTGGTCCACACTCGATTATTTACAAACCGCCATCATATAGCTGGAATATTGATGAGTGCGGCGTTAAACAACAAAGCAAGCAACCAATCAAAATCGGGAATAGTCTATTAAATGTCAATATGGTACACAGCAATGAGTACCCTGTACCTAACAATATCTGCCATCAGACATACAACATTTTTCAGCATGTTTGGAGACATACCAAGAGCTTTAGTACTTTCAGGTATTTATTAAGTAAGGATAAGAATTTATGGATGAACAACTTCTTTATTAAAATTAAGAGCGACGTTTCGGTGTAGGTTCTAACACAGTTATCAAGCAAGTGTTAGAACCTACACCGAAACGTCGCTCTTAATTGTAATAAAGAAGTTGTTCATCCATAAATTCTTATCCTTACTTAATACTCCAACTTCTAAATGCCTATCAAAGAAGGTATTAAATGGCATAAAATGGGTTTCCTCGCTCTGCTTCATATTAAAGGAAATCATACACCTTAAAAATCAGCTGAGTAGCGCATCTTGTCAGTCAACAACGCTGTATACTGTGCAGCATGTGCAGTGCATGTTTGCGCTGTTCTTCCTATGATTGTGCACCTCCATTCCAGATGTCACCTTGTACACATAACAACATGATAGTTTCTTAAACAACTTTTTTCCAGTGATGGGACTTAAAATAACATACAGCAGATATTGTTGGGTACAGAGTATTCATTGCCATTTACCGTATTGACATTTAATAGAGTATTCCTGATTTTGAGATGTGTTGCAGTAAATACTCAATGGCTTGAAAAAAGTACCTGAAGACCTTTTTTACAAAATGACCTTTTTAATCAAAATGTTTGAATGTTTTCATGCATAGTTGTATGGAAGCCAATCCAAAATAATTGGCTTATGTTGATTAATGTCACTCATTTTTGCACTACTAAGCAAACTATCAGGATCGCTAGCTAATGTCCCTTTGTGGAACGTGGTCCTGCGCAACAGGAGTCCAGCACCTGCTGGTGTTACAGGTGTGTGGCACCTGCTGGTGTTACAGGTGTGTGGCACCTGCTGGTGTTACAGGAGTCTGGCACCTGCTGGTGTTACAGGAATCCGGCACCTGCTGGTGTTACAGGAGTTGGGCACCTGCTGGTATTACACGAGTCCAGCTGCTAGTGTTACAGGAGTCCATCACCTGCTGGTGTTACAGGAGTCTGGCACCTGCTGGTGTTACAGGAGTCCATCACCTGCTGGTGTTACAGGAGTCTGGCACCTGATGATGTTACAGAAGTCCGGCACCTGCTGGTGTTACAGTAGTCTGGCACCTGATGATGTTACAGGAGTCTGGCACCTGCTGGTGTTACAGGAGTCAGGCACCTGCTGGTGTTACAGGAGTCCGGCACCTGCTGGTGCTACAGGAGTCGGGCACCTGCTGGTGTTACAGGAGTCAGGCACCTGCTGGTGTTACAGGAGTCCGGCACCTGCTGGTGTTACAGGAGTCCGGCACCTGCTGGTGTTACAGGAGTCGGGCACCTGCTGGTGTTACAGGAGTCGGGCACCTGCTGGTGTTACAGGAGTCAGGCACCTGCTGGTGTTACAGGAGTCAGGCACCTGCTGGTGTTACAGGATTCAGGCACCTGCTGGTGTTACAGGAGTCCGGCAACTGCTGGTGTTACAGGAGTCCGGCACCTGCTGGTGTTACAGGAGTCGGGCACCTGCTGGTGTTACAGGAGTCAGGCACCTGCTGGTGTTACAGGATTCAGGCACCTGCTGGTGTTACAGGAGTCCGGCAACTGCTGGTGTTACAGGAGTCCGGCACCTGCTGGTGTTACAGGAGTCGGGCACCTGCTGGTGTTACAGGAGTCCGGCACCTGCTGGTGTTACAGGAGTCCGGCACCTGATGATGTTACAGTAGTCTGGCACCTGCTGGTGTTACAGTAGTCCGGCACCTGATGATGTTACAGTAGTCTGGCACCTGCTGGTGTTACAGAAGTCCATCACCTGCTGGTGTTACAGTAGTCTGGCACCTGCTGGTGTTACAGGAGTCCGGCACCTGATGATGTTACAGTAGTCTGGCACCTGCTGGTGTTACAGGAGTCCGGCACCTGATGATGTTACAGTAGTCTGGCACCTGCTGGTGTTACAGGAATCCGGCACCTGCTGGTGTTACAGGAGTCTGGCACCTGCTGGTGTTACAGGAGTCTGGCACCTGCTGGTGTTACAGGAGTTGGGCACCTGCTGGTATTACACGAGTCCAGCTGCTAGTGTTACAGGAGTCCATCACCTGCTGGTGTTACAGGAGTCTGGCACCTGCTGGTGTTACAGGAGTCTGGCACCTGATGATGTTACAGAAGTCCGGCACCTGCTGGTGTTACAGTAGTCTGGCACCTGATGATGTTACAGGAGTCTGGCACCTGCTGGTGTTACAGGAGTCAGGCACCTGCTGGTGTTACAGGAGTCAGGCACCTGCTGGTGTTACAAGAGTCCGGCACCTGCTGGTGTTACAGAAGTCCGGCACCTGCTGGTGTTACAGGAGTCCGGCACCTGCTGGTGCTACAGGAGTCGGGCACCTGCTGGTGTTACAGGAGTCAGGCACCTGCTGGTATTACAGGAGTCCGGCAACTGCTGGTGTTACAGGAGTCCGGCACCTGCTGGTGTTACAGGAGTCGGGCACCTGCTGGTGTTACAGGAGTCAGGCACCTGCTGGTGTTACAGGATTCAGGCACCTGCTGGTGTTACAGGAGTCCGGCAACTGCTGGTGTTACAGGAGTCGGGCACCTGCTGGTGTTACAGGAGTCGGGCACCTGCTGGTGTTACAGGAGTCGGGCACCTGCTGGTGTTACAGGAGTCCGGCACCTGATGATGTTACAGTAGTCTGGCACCTGCTGGTGTTACAGGAGTCCGGCACCTGATGATGTTACAGTAGTCTGGCACCTGCTGGTGTTACAGGAGTCCATCACCTGCTGGTGTTACACGATTCCAGCACCTGCTGGTATAATGTGCGTCCCAAAAGATGGCGTGTCATGTTATTAGATTAGTACGCCTGATTGTCCAAGCAAATGCTCAGCTTGGCACACTTGCTGTTAGGTTGCTGCTATGTGTCTATGAATATTGCCTGCAATCTTGTTACCTGCCTGTGACAATAGGTATGGAGATAATGTTTCCTTGTCCTAGCTCTGTAGACTTATTTTAGCTCTGTATACTTATATTAGTTTTGCATACTTATACTAGCTCTGTAGACCTTTATTAGTTCTGTAGCCTATATTACCCATGCCTCTGTATGGTCCTGTGCAATTACAATTGTTTTAAATCAATGTTTTCTGCTGTATGTACGTATGTTGACTGTGTGTTGACTGTGTGTTGCAGTGTTTTCTGCTGCATGTACTTATGTTGACTGTGTGTTGCAGTGTTTTCTGCTGCATGTACTTATGTTGACTGTGTGTTGCAGTGTTTTCTGCTGCATGTACTTATGTTGACTGTGTGTTGCAGTGTTTTCTGCTGCATGTACTTATGTTGACTGTGTGTTGCAGTGTTTTCTGCTGCATGTACTTATGTTGACTGTGTGTTGCAGTGTTTTCTGCTGCATGTACTTATGTTGACTGTGTGTTGCAGTGTTTTCTGCTGCATGTACTTATGTTGACTGTGTGTTGCAGTGTTTTCTGCTGCATGTACTTATGTTGACTGTGTGTTGCAGTGTTTTCTGCTGCATGTACTTATGTTGACTGTGTGTTGACTGTGTGTTGACTGTGTGTTGCAGTGTTTTCTGCTGTATGTACATATGTTGACTGTGTGTTGACTGTGTGTTGCAGTGTTTTCTGCTGTATGTACTTATGTTGACTGTGTGTTGCAGTGTTTTCTGCTGCATGTACTTATGTTGACTGTGTGTTGACTGTGTGTTGCAGTGTTTTCTGCTGTATGTACTTATGTTGACTGTGTGTTGACTGTGTGTTGCAGTGTTTTCTGCTGTATGTACTTATGTTGACTGTGTGTTGCAGTGTTTTCTGCTGCATGTACTTATGTTGACTGTGTGTTGACTGTGTGTTGCAGTGTTTTCTGCTGTATGTACTTATGTTGACTGTGTGTTGCAGTGTTTTCTGCTGCATGTACTTATGTTGACTGTGTGTTGCAGTGTTTTCTGCTGCATGTACTTATGTTGACTGTGTGTTGACTGTGTGTTGCAGTGTTTTCTGCTGTATGTACCTATGTTGACTGTGTGTTGACTGTGTGTTGCAGTGTTTTCTGCTGCATGTACTTATGTTGACTGTGTGTTGACTGTGTGTTGCAGGCATCAAGCTGCCCGTGGACTACTACAACACACATGGGACATTGAGACCACACTGTGAGTACAGCCACTTTATGCACTCCACCTTACACACACGACAGTGTTCTCGCTCAGCGCTGTAATACATGACAGTGTTCTCACTCCGAGGTGTAGAACTTGACATTATTCTCACTCCAGAGCTGTAATACATGACAGTATTCTCACTCAGAGCTGTAATACATGACAGTGTTCTCACTCAGAGCTGTAGAACATGACATTATTCTCACTCAGAGCTGTAATACATGACAGTGTTCTCACTCAGAGCTGTAATACTTGACAGTGTTCTCACTCCAGAGCTGTAGTACTTGACAGTGTTCTCACTCAGAGCTGAAATACTTGACAGTGTTCTCACTCCAGAGCTGTAGTACTTGACAGTGTTCTCACTCAGAGCTGTAATACTTGACAGTGTTCCTCCTCCAGAGCTGTAGTACTTGACAGTATTCTCACTCCAGAGTTGTAGTACTTGACAGTGTTCCCCCTCCAGAGCTGTAGTACTTGACAGTGTTCTCCCTCCAGAGCTGTAGTACTTGACAGTATTCTCACTCCAGAGTTGTAGTACTTGACAGTGTTCCCCCTCCAGAGCTGTAGTACTTGACAGTGTTCCCCTCGAGCTGTAGTACATGACAGTGTTCCCCTCCATAGCTGTAGTACTTGACAGTGTTCCCCCTCCAGAGCTGTAGTACTTGGCAGTGTTCCTCCTCCAGAGCTGTAGTACTTGACAGTGTTCCCCCCCAGAGCTGTAGTACTTGACAGTATTCCTCCTCCAGAGCTGTAGTACTTGACAGTGTTCCCCTCCAGAGCTGTAGTATTTGGCAGTGTTCCCCCTCCAGAGCTGTAGTACTTGACAGTGTTCCTCCTCCAGAGCTGTAGTACTTGACAGTGTTCCCCTCCAGAGCTGTAGTACTTGGCAGTGTTCCTCCTCCAGAGCTGTAGTACTCGACAGTGTTCCTCCTCCAGAGCTGTAGTTCTTGACAGTGTTCACCTCCAGAGCTGTAGTACTTGGCAGTGTTCCCCCTCCAGAGCTGTAGTACTTGGCAGTGTTCCCCCTCCAGAGCTGTAGTACTTGGCAGTGTTCCCCCTCCAGAGCTGTAGTACTTGACAGTGTTCCCCCTCCAGAGCTGTAGTACTTGACAGTGTTCCCCTCCAGAGCTGTAATACTTGGCAGTGTCCCCCCTCCAGAGCTGTAGTACTTCACAGTGTTAGAAATTCGCACTAGTCCTATAGTCCTTGCCAAACTGCCCTATGGTAAAGGTATCATAAGGACTAGTAGAAATGTGCCCTTTTTAAGGGTTTTGCCATATGTTACCATAATAAGGACTAGTGGACAAAACTGTTAGTTGCTAACCCTGACTTCAGTGTCTGCATTCTCAAGATGCAGTCTATGACACATTTCCATAGCTGAAACAATTGACAGCTATTGTAACAGTCCACTATTACTTTAGCTCTAAGAACTCCTGTTAAAAGTGTTATGCCCAAACATTTTTTCGGTCAAGTAGCAGAAAGTTTTTGGCCCAGATTGCTATATATATAAAGCCAATGTGTTGTAACAACACTGCCAACACTGTGAGTGTTCTGTGATGAACAGAAGGAGGACGAGGCAGTTCTAGGTGCAGGGTCTTATAATAGCCGGGGTGAGGGGGGGCAGGTGAATCATGGCTGCAGTACGTAGTTCCTGTCTTCCACATCACTCGCAGGAATCTCCCTTCACGGCAGGGAACATGCTGCTTACCGTTTGTGTGGACTTCTAGAGTGTGTGGACTTCTAGAGTGTGTGGACTTCTAGAGTGTGTGGACTTCTAGTTTGTGTGGAGTTTGGATTTAACTCGGTCACAGGTTAGTGTTCTGTGTGTCTGGCACTAAGCTGTGTGTTTATTTGTATATCTGGACATTGAGTGGGATAACTCAGGTACACTGAGGTTGTTGGCCGTCTGTTGTGATGGAGGGCTGATGCTGCAGGGCGGAGTGGATGTACATCACTGAAACATGTGAGACAGTTGCTGGTTGTGATTGGTGTGTAGTGTTCTGTGGTCAGCTATACTGAGCTGTGGTCGTCACGAGGAGTTCAAGGTCACAGTTGTTGCTGGGATTCTGTGGTCATTCATCCCGTTTCAGATCAGGTCATTTTAAAGGATGTTCACTTTCATCCAGAATGCCCTGAAGATATTTTTAAAATTTGATAATGATATAGCAGGATGTCCTAATGAAAGCTGACAAAACCAGAAGATGTCCGATTACTAAATGTCCCTTGCAAAGTTATCTACCCTTGCTCAATTATTTACAAGCAGCCATTGCTTGAATACTGCCGCCTGTTGCACTCAATAACATTCACTCACTTGTTCTTCTATGTGGTTGTATCTGGGAAATGCTGATAGGTATTTGTGTGTCATTAGAACACACATTGCCCCAGATTAGATGTTTGTGTCAGTGTGTTCAAGAAAGTAAAAGTTGGATTACAGGAATTTCAGCCTATAAACAGGTCTGAGTTGAAGAGAATGTTGTCGGTGGATTGTAGCCTGTGGCAAATGTTGAGAGCAGGCAGCATGGGTTCACAGCTTGAGTCAGGTGTGTATTTCTCACCCAATGATGTTTGAAAATAAGTTCTGTGACCGTGTTTGTACTAAGATACAGAGTGTGTCTGTGTTTTCTAAGATACAGAGTCTCAGTGTTCACTAAGATACAGAGTGTGTTCGTGTTACTAAGAGTGTGTCTGTATTTATTAAGACACAGAGAGTTTTTTACTTAGAATCAGTTTGTCTATTTACTAAAATACTGAATGTGTCAGTGTTTACTAAGATACTGAGAGTGTCAGTGCTTACTAAGATACAGAGTCTGTCTATTTACTGAGATACAGAGTTTGTCTATTTACTAAGATACTGAATGTGTCAGTGTTTACTGAGATACAGAGTGTCTATTAACTAAGATACTGAGAGTGTCAGTATTTACTGAGATACAGAGTGTGTCTTTTTACTAAGATCCTGACGGTGTCAGTGCTTACTAAGATACAGAGTCTGTCTATTTACTGAGATACAGAGTCTATCTATTTACTAAGATACTGAGAGTGTCAGTGTTTACTAAGATACAGAGTGTCTATTAACTAAGATACTGAGAGTGTCAGTGTTTACTAAGATACAGAGACTGTCTATTAACTAAGATACTGAGAGTGTCAGTGTTTACTAAGATACAGAGACTGTCTATTTACTAAGATACTGAAAGTGTCAGTGCTTACTAAGATGCTGCGAGAGTGTGTGAGTCCCTACTTCGGGGAGAAGCAGCTGCCAGCAGTGACTGTACATACCAAGGTGATTCACGTCTCCCCCTCCTGCCCACTACCTGGCAGTCATTAACACTCCCGCCCCTCCACTGCTCAGTTCCTCAGGAGATACTGTGTTCTACTAAGTAGTACAGTCTCCCCAGGACATGGATGTCACGATGGAAGGGGTCCGTTCTGGTCTGTGTGGCACTGCTGGGTTCTGCCGGTGTAGGAAGCTGGTGCTGGAAGCGTGGCTTCACCCATGTGGTTTATTCTTAGTGTAGTAAAAATACCTACCAGCTGACTGAAACCAGGCCGCCAGGCGGCTGACATCACCTCCACAGTGCACTGACAAGCCGGCTGCAAGGAGGGGAGAGGTGTGTGTAGGAATTTGTACAATTGACGGAACTGTTGATGCACTGTGATGTTGTTGTTCAGTGGCAATAGAAGTGGACTAGTTGAAGTATCTACAGTTGACACTGATACTCTGTTTGACTATCCATTTTATCATTACAAAACACAAGTGTATATTCCCCACTCCTTGTTATTTCAGTTTGGTCAGAACATATTTTATAATTTTCACCTGATGTCTAGACAGCTCCTACAAGTTCCCCAGCTGTCTGTTCTATACAGACATGTTGGGATTGGCACCATGTAGAATACAGCAAAGATTTCTGATGTTGCAGAGTGGCACAGTGGTACTGCATGCTACAGAGTTGTGTCCCTTAGCCATGAATGGATCCGCTGATCATGGGTTTGAATCTTAGATTCAAACGGGATTGATCAAGATCTGCTGAGGCCGATATTTTGATGCAAGTCTGAAGCAAACGTCAGTAAAAATTACCAAATAGAAATTAGAACTTTCCCCGTTCATGTTAATATAATTTTATATAATGTTATTGCTATGTAGAGAGACAATGCTTGCTGTAAGAGGCGACTAACGGGATCGGGTGGTCAGGCTCGCTGACTTGGTCGATGCATGTCATCGTATCCCAATTGCGTGGATCGATGCTCATGTTGTAAATAACTGGATTGTCTGGTCCAAACTCGATTATTTACAGACTTTCGTCGTATAGCTGGAATATTGGAGAGTGCGACATTAAACAACAAAGAAACAAAGCTAAGTAGAGGTGTGGTGTGTTTCACTGATAGCAAGACCAGTAAGGAAGAAGAGGCGTTATTGAATTACATACAGTTATAATATTTACAGCCATATAGCCTGAATATTGACGAGTGCTCTTGTCAAACAGGATGTAGTTCAGTTGTTTTGTTCGAATTGATGACTTTGAAATAATTTTTCTTCCTCACTGATATGATCAAACTACACAATTTACAAATACAAGCCGGAAAATCCTGTGTCATTGGATTGTATTGCATGTTTGTATTATGAAGGTAAGCATGAAATTCAAGAGGTCCTAGACCCTAGTGTTACTGTTTTAAGATTTAGCGAGACCTTAGAATCTAACATTATAGGAAAGGCTTTAGGACCCACTGATGCCACTGGCTTATTCTCCTACCAGCATGTTATATTAAGAAATGGAGACACTGTTATTGGTGCTACCACAAAACGGGTGTCTAACGCAAAGCTGCTGCAGGTAACTGTGCTGGGTTGTCAGGTAGATTTAACAACAAATTTGTATGTAGCCAGCAGGGCTTGCTCCTTTTAAAAGTTACAGGCCCTTCTCCAAACTAACTGGCGTACAACTAAATGGCGGAGGCTCCGAAGTGGCGGAACTGGAGGTAACATAGACACCTCAGCAGGGCTCTGA